CTCTCTCTTCCGCAATTTTTCTCTCTTTCTCGGGCGCTATATATGTACACACAAAGGTATATATATATATACTCGCCTTTCTCTGTTTCTTTCCCTTGCTCACTTCCTTACTCCCCTCTCGCGGATAGTATCGTCCAATGCACCAGTCGCACCGTGAAAAGTTTGCTAGCCAAATGACCGTATTTCAGCCGAAACTTTTTCACTCCCCGAGGCAGAAAATGTGAATTTACGCCTATAATACACGCGCACGCGCGCGTGCGACCATACGCACGTGTGTGCGCGCGGTCACGTGTGTGTATGTGTGAATTTGTGGCTGTAAAAATGCGTATTATAGCTGTAAATCCACTTTTTGTGCAATTTGTGGGTGAAAATGTTCGGGCCGAAATACAAGCATTTTCCTTGTGAACATTTTTCATGCTTGACTGGTCGTGGGCGATAGAATTTGGAGGAGGGGAGTAAAAAACTGAGGGGACGGGAGAGAGGGAGGGAGAAGGAAAGAGGAGAGAAAATAGGGAGGAGCCAATCATACGGCACATGCACACACGCACACGCACACGCACGCACANGTCCACGGCATCAGTCGCACGGTGAAAAGTTTGCTAGCCAAATGGCGGTATTTCAGCCGAAACTTTTTCACTCCCCGAGGCAGAAAATGTGAATTTAGGCCTATAATGCACGCGCACGCGCGCGTGCGACCATACGCACGTGTGTGCGCGCGGTCACGTGTGTGTATGTGTGCTTTTGTGGCTGTAAAAATGCGTATTATAGCCGTAAATCCACTTTTTGTGCAATTTGTGGGTGAAAATGTTCGGGCCGAAATACAAGCATTTTTCTCGTGAACATTTTTCATGCTTGACTGGTCGTGGGCGAAAGAATTTGAGGAGGGGAGTAAAAAACTGAGGGGACGGGAGAGAGGGAGGGAGAAGGAAAGAATAGAGAAAATAGGGAGGGGCAAACATACATACGACACACACACGCACACGCACACACACACACACACACACACACACACACACACACACACACACACACACAC